AAGTGCCAAGTTACGTCTAATTAAACTAATATTTAATGTAATAATATGAGCTAATAATAAGTAATAATAATAAATTATGAATTATAATRAATAATAATAAAAATTTGTTTTTGCATATTTTGGTAAATAAAATGCATATTTTACAATTTTTATTGCATATAAATCCTAGCCCTAATCATCAGTATCAGCTTACGGTATGTCCTATAGCCGGTGCGTGCATGCAATGCGAGTAAACGTTGCGATATTTGACCGCACCGCACTGCATTCTAGTTCCCGTATGTATGGCAAAATTGACGCATTCAAATAGGAGAGAAAACGCACACGATTTTCTGATGGTTTTACTTAATTTTTGGTTAATAACAACTAACGAATCGTGTTGAGAAGACGCATTGACGTATTGCGTTATCAACGTAAATTAATATTCAGATTTCGGTTTGGGAATAATTACCTAACTATAATTAACTATAACTTAGTATTATGTCGTTAATTGAAGATCGATGAAAGTTGGTGTTAATAGAAAACATTTATTTTAAATATAAATTACTTAAAATGAGAAAAAATCTAAGAGATCTTCTCAAAATGTGATTTATAAAGATCAATTTATATTTGGAGAATTTCATCAACTATATCCTCAATTACGAGCAGATAAAGAAATGTTCGAGCATACACCAGAATATTACTACAGACACATTTGACTACATGGCTCAACATATAACACCAATTTGTCAAAAAGAGTACACACATTTTCTAAATCCAATCAGTGTTGAGGAACGACTGTTGATTACTATAAGGTAAATATAACACAGACAACTACAACTGTAAAATTATATATATTCTCATGACAATGGTAATAAGATTAGGTATGTACCTGCTTCTATAGAAGATTAATTTTAGTCAATTTTGGTTTTTGGTGTAACTCAAAAAAAAACATTTTCACTGAATGTTTATAATAGCATTTTCTGTACACCATAAAATATTCAAAATATTTTGACTTGATAGACATTTACATTAGACTATTACAGACATTCCAATTTTTTTTAGTTTTTTTTTTTTTTTATAAATGTAAAGGATGGATTGATTTAAAAAAATTCATGTCCTCATCATTTTTTACTGAATTCTTTGACAAGTCTATAAAAGCTTGAACTTTTGTTTTTTCAAGTTCTAGTAATTGTTGTTCAAAACACATTTCACCTTGTTGTTTTCTCATTTTTTTGCCCGCCCCTCCCGATTTAGTTTTTGAGTTGTTTAACTCAGAAATAGGGGAATTTTTACCGATTGTGTTAGGTTAGTCTGTGATTCAGTTTGATGTAATAATAAATCCATACCTTTGAAATTATGTGGCGTTTCTTTTTCAAGATTTTTCTCATTTTCTTCATCTTCGTTTGAATCTGACTTGTGTTCGTCTAAATGTTCTAATTCAGTATTCTCATCATAATCATCAGAAAATGTACCAAACGTCTTTCAAAAATTACATAGACACAAAATATACGACCATTTCGCGTAATATTTTTCTAGGCCGTCTTGTGACGATCCTGACTTCGGTTTTTTAAATTTTTTTAAGTTATTTTTTGAACTGATCCCTTAAGTTTTTCCGCCTTTTTTTTTGCTTCACTGCCTAAAAGTTAATAAACAGTAATCACTAGTAACTTTTGGACATTGTTTTATGACCGGATACATTTGACTTTCACTAAACAGTTTTTCAATTATTGTTCTTTCACTCCAATTTTTTGTGAACTTATACTGAATATAAACTTCTTTGTCCTCCTCAAAACAACAATTATTTTTATTTGCGTTTTTGTTATAATACAGAATTTGTATAAAATACGATTGACATAAACTCCAATATACGATATAGTTTTAATATGCAAAAAAAAAAAAATACCAAAAATGTATTAAAGCAGATATTATATGAAAACAGTATAATATTTTCATTAAACATTGTTCGAATTTCTTAATTTACTCTAAAAACTTTATCTTTATCTTTATTATTAATATAATTATAATATGAATTAAAAATAATTAAGATTAGAAACATCTGTTACACAAAACAAATAATGAAGGTGGTATAAATACTAACTCGAGCGGAACGCAATATTCAAAAAATAATGAAATCTGCATTGAAATCAGAGGCCCGCTCATAAAAAAATACATATATAAGTGTTCCTAATATACAGAGTGTCCGACAGAGATCTGACATTCTGACAAAT